GTTGGCGAAGTTCATTATTGCTATTAGCGGGCAAATCCCATCATCTCCATATTTCTTAAGACAATGCCTTGTCTATATATATGAAATGATTCCCGATTATGTTTAGCCTTTCTAAAATCACCTAGTGTAGACCACTCCGTTGGGGAGCTAACACTATTGATTTTAGATTGAGTTTATAACGTTATTAATACTCTAACGAAAAATAAAACATTAAATATCTTGTCATTATAATCTAGACTCTTTAAATCATGCGTAGGGCCTTATTTTTAAAGATCTAATTACAATGAACATTTAATATTATTATTTTTATGAGATAACCATTCTTGTAATATTAAGACTCTTCAAATCATGCGTGGGGCCTTATTTTTGAAGACCTAATTACAATGGTGTTAATAACGAAGGCCATGGGGCAATGTATAAAAAACCCCGCTCCCACTCAATTTTTGATCATTCATAATTAGGGTTTTCATTTTATTCATTTACATGATATAATGCATGCAAAACGTCTTGATTTTAATCCAATTAAATTTAGAAAATATTTGGACTTTAAACGATTCACTAATATTTAATTTGAAGCACACTCTTTAAAAATAATTTACAAAAATAATTTTTCGTTTCCCAATAAGTGCCCTCAAATTAATTAGTAATCAAATCCAATTAATTTTCATAATTTAATTAATATAAATCAAGTCATTTAATTAAATATCATGGATCCAATGCATGAATAATAATAATAAACAATTAATTATTCCATGCATCAGTTAAATAAATAAATAACAGACAGAAGTAATTTAAATGGCCAATGGATTCAGCTTTTAACATTTAATTGCTCTAATAACTGCATGATGGTCTTTCATCAGCATGAAAACACCCGCAGGAGGTTGATACGCGCTAGGAGAAGCAAAACGAGGCTTGAAACGCACCTGGAAGGTCATTCACGCGCTCCCACGCGCCTCGGGAGAGTCCCAGCGCGTGCCACGCGCTCCCACGCGCTTACACGCGCTGGGAAGATGATTCAGTGCATGCCACGCGCTGCCACGCGCCGGCACGCGCGTGGGGAAGGTTCCTTTGTCTGGCGCGTGTTCCTCACGCGCCGGATGGTTGACTTTGTCTGGCGTGTGTACCTCACGCGCCAGAATGCTGACCTTGTCAGCGCGTGTACTTCACGCGCTTTTCCATTGGCTGTCCTCTTCAGTACACCATGGGTGCTGCTACACTGGATTATACGTCCATCTTCCGGCGCTGTCCCTCGCCGCCGGCATTGCTCCGGTCGCCGGAAAATCGCCGAAAATTCCAGAAAAATTAATAAAAATTTCCAGAAATTAAATTTAGGCCCTAAAAATTTCAGAAAAATTCTAAAAAATTTCTAAAAAATCCCAGAAAATTCCTGAAGCCTAATTTAACCCTTTTGGACCTTCTTGAAGCTTCATAGCATCCTTTGATGAATATTACATGGCTTTAAAAATATTTACAACTTGAAATACAGTGGGAAAAATAAATTACATCATTGAACTTTCAAACGGCTAAATCAAAGCCTTAATTACATTCATCCAAAGATAAAATTACATTCCAATAACCTATAAGCTTCATCCATGGCCCAAATATTCATCATCATTCATTCACAATTATACATACATCATGATCATATAATAATATAAACATATGCATATATATATTTGGATCCATGATGATGATTTTGATAAAAACATGATCTCTAGTAATGAATCAAACCATGCTCTGATACCACTATTGGGAAACGTACTAGTTTTAAAAACTTTTCGAGGGATTTAAATTCATAGATCTTGATTCATTACATAGAGACAAGTTTCATGCAAAAATAAAACATGATGTATCATTCAATTAAAAGATTGAATACTTACATCAAGGTTTGAGTAAACCTTAGATCTCTCCTCTAAAGTGAATGTTCTCACTTATTGTAGATCCCTTAGCAAGATGCATTCTCCTTGGATCTCCATCTTCTTAGTAATTGTTTTACCTTTAGGAATCACTCATATGCCTCCATGAATGACCTTGGAAAACTAGGCTTGTGGGAGCCTCCATTAGATGAGAACATAAACCCTAATTTTCTAGAGAGAGAAAAGTTATTCCTTTTTTTCTTCTCATCAAAATCACCCCCTAAAATATACATAGACCATGTATATTTATAGGCAACATAAAAATAAAGAATAGGAAACAACAAATCCTTCTCCATCTCTAATTCATATGTCTCAAATCTAATATGATTCCAATATCAAGTTAGGCTATGAGTGAGAATCCATTGGGCCTATTATTTTATTGGCTACAATGAATTAATAATTGGCCCGGTCCATGGACCCAATTCAATTAATTCATAAATTAATTTCTACTCCACTAAAAGAAATTAATTGAACTCCAATTAAATAATAAATAACCTCTAAGTCAATATTGCACTTTGACCCCTCTATGCATAATTAGTTATCGGATAAATATAGCCATCAATCCGACTACTTAATTAATATATTTATTTTGGTACCTTTGATTATTTCTAGCTCGATCACAATAAAACATTTGTTTGACAAAAATAATAATTTAAATAAATAAATATATAATAAATCATTTTGTCTAAAAACACACGAAGGCCTTTGAATTTACTTTGTGATCAACCATAATCAATACAAAATAAATACAAGTAGCAATGATGCAAATATTGAAATATAACCCTCTAACTGTTAATTACATAACTACCCAAAGTGTCGGTCTAAGGATCCCGAAGAATCCGCCGAACAAATCAAAGTAATTATTAATTAATAAAAGAGTCTATACTTTTCTCATGCTTAAGAGTCAAATGCCATGACGGTGATAGGGAGTAATTGCATACGACGGCTCTCGCAATATATCTCAACCTAACGCGGATCCAGTTCAAGTCTTACTTAATTATGAGTCCATCCATAATTACCGACTATGAACAATTTATAATTACTATTTATATATCATGCATTGATTGTCATCACATACATATATATAAATATTTCTTGTAATTACATGGACACTATCAATTTCATAGTGAATCGAAACATAATACATTGAATTCACCAATTGTATAAAATATAAATATTTCAGAAACGTCAGGAACATATGTCAATTAATCCAAGCAGGAATTTACTATGCCAGGGCATATAAATCCCAACACAATCATCATGTGGGCAGATTTGAGGTAGCTTTTATGCGCTCTCGCTCTGTTTCCTTGTCGCTTCTGAACATTTGGCTCCATTTTTTTTGGATATAAAATAATATTTTTCAAAAAATATTTTTTTAATTTATTGGTATTTAATTATCTTAAAATTTTTACGAAAAAAATAAAATAAAACCTACCTAAAATAAATTATCTATCAATTTTTGCAACCCAGAAACAGAAGGAGTGCTTTGGGATTAGGATGTTTGAACGATACCAACTTGTGTCAATGTATAATGGGGAGAGTGGGAGAGATGGCTGTGATGTTGTGTTTGAGAGAATAGCTCTTTGTTTGTGAGGGATCCCATTGGATGAGGTCATTCAATAACAAATTTGGTAAGGTGAGTGTGGTTAGGCGAGTGTGGTTAGGTCAAAGTGTGGGGATATTTAGATAAGCTCCTAGGCCATGTCCATTGGTTATGAGTGGGGAGTTGAGACACTTTAATAAACCTGTAGATGAACCATCCCTATTTATGAAAAGAGTTTGAGTTTAATACCTGATGAAGAAGTCCACAGGGCAACCAGTTATCAAAAAATACCATTGTTGAAGAGCCATTATTAACTTTGTGCTTGATCAGAGGTTGTGCTAAGTGTCTGTTTTGCATCAATTTCCTCCAGAATCATGAGCATTGATTTGGAATATTGATATCACAGATGCTTTTCTGTTTGACAAGTGTTCTTCTGTCCAAGTCTTCCATAAGCTATGTTCTTCACTTGAGCATAAGGTCCATAGGTGTCTCAATATGACAACATTATTCCACTCCTGAATATCATGTAGTTCCAATCCATCTGCTTTCTTTGGTGTGCACACATGTTCCCTGTCCACTTTTGCCTTGAATCTGTTCATGTTTAGTCCTGACCATAGAAATATTTGTAGAATTTGAGTAATGAGCTCACACACTTTGACAAGAAGTATCAAAATGTTTGACCAATAGATATTCATACTAAAGAGTGTTGCCTTGATGAGTAGTCTTTCTGTAAAGGAAAGTGCTCTAGCAGTCCAAATATTCACTTTAGATAGCATGCTATTTACGAGTGTTTGGCAATCATCAGTTGTAAGGTGTGCTTTCGGTTGGGCCCAAATGTGGGTCTTATTTGATTTCTTGCTTCTGCCTACGTGTCTTCTGCTCTCGAAGCCTGTTTGGTGGTCCGGGCCATTTATTCCATATAGACTAGTATTTTTACCGGGAGATAAATAAAATAAAAAAAACAAAAAAAAAAAAGGAATAAAGTATTTTGCTTGAGGCTTAAATGTGTGAGAAGTAATTATATTATATGGTTATGGCGCCATTGATCCCGGTCAATTATCATATGATATGACATATTTACTTAGATGTCAAATGTATTATTTTTTCCTTTTTTCAAAAAATAAAAATAAATAAATAAATTTCAACTGAGCCCCCTTATGTTGCTATGCGGAAAATTTATCTGTCATAACTTTAGGTAAGACATCAATGTATCCAATGTAAGACACTTCTATGTAATCAACCAAATACATTAATATTGAGAAATTTGCTCAATTCAACTGAAAGAGTATGCTAGAAAACAAGTAAATTAATTATTCAAATTGAAAAGTACATCCCAATAAACCTGACAAATGCTAGCCAAATCAAAAATAACACGACAGATATCAAATTGATAATCTCGAACCATATAACCATCTGCAGAATCCCTTCCCAACTTTTGCAGTCATGGATCCATCCTTAGTTTTTAATTGTATCTATTTTTCGTGCAGGGTACCATACGGCTGGCATTGGGGCTGGCATTGGAGATGGAGATGAAATTGCACCACCAATTGGGAAAGTAAAAGATGGCGCGGGAGCTAAATTATTCGGTTGCACAGTAATGGCTAGCTTCTGTTCACCATACGCACAATGCATGCCAACGCCACAAATGTACCATTTCTTCCCCGGCGTGGCTAGGGTGATCACATCATTTCCGGTCGTCAGAGCCTCACTGGGAGGTGGCTTCATGCACGCTTTGAATGCAGTTCCATTCACTTTGAAGACATTGTGATCTCCCACAGGATATTTGAACACTGCACACACACACACACACATATCAGATATCAAATTGATTGAAATGGTTGGTTTTTTAGAGTGACTAGCTAGCTAGTCTCATTTCTAAAATTCAAGGTATCACAGAAGCACAAAATTTACAACTTAATTGAGCATATATATGATTCAAAGTTAAAAAATTAAAGTAGTAGTAGAGATAAAAGTACCTAGTGTGTCTCCGACCACAAATTCCTTTCCCTCGGCCCAGTCTTGGTAATCAGGGCCTACGTCCCAGCCCGCATCATCCCCGACAATGAATTCCTTAGCAGAAACTGAAATGGAGAGTGCAAGGATGGCAACGATGATGATATGGGTGGTGGCCATTGTATTATCTTACTTGTGTTTTCTTCAAATGAATTATAAGGAGTGAGTACTACAATAATTAGGAGATGAAATGGTGCCTATTTATAGATTTCTAATGCATATGGACCGGGATGGCGGGTCCCAATTCATCGCAAAGATCAATGATGCAACATTTAAAAAAACATGTTTGTCTTGAATATATACGCATTTTTTATATATGCAACAACGAATTTTATTAGTACCAGAATGATTTTGAGTTATTCTTGAATATATATGCGTGTTTGTCTGTTTGCAAATTTAGGCGTAGAGTTTGAAGTTCAATTTATAGAGTTTTTAAGTCCTTAATATTAAGGAACCAACCGGCTCAATGTTGTGAGCTAGATTAAATTATGCAACAATGAATGTTTAAAATATACATATGGGTTGAACTGTTCATTTATCATGGTACTATGACTGGGTCAATGAACAAGAAAAATTACAAAGATTACAAAATCTCTCTGACTTGTTCTTTTAGAACATTGAAATTATAACTGGCATTGCTTTAAACCCATCTTAGAGAGTATCTAATCAGACTGTGGAATTTGAATTAAAAGAAATTTGCTTTAAATTACTAATTTAGTACTCCCAAACACAACATATATGTTTTGTGATTAAGAATCAACATTACGGTTCTTATTTGAATATAAGCACCCTTTGTGCTTCTTCAATTTCTTTGGATTGGTAACTTTAAAGGATTAGCTCTCTACTAAAATCAATGATTCACTCTGTAATTGATATATTTATTTATGCTTTTTCTAGTTTGGTGATAAATTAATAATTGAACTACAAGTTTTTCAGCAATTTTTTCTCAAATGAAGGTACCGTTTTCATTTAATTTTACAGCTGATCAAGTAGCATATTGACGCAGTTGGATGAGAAGGAAGAAGAAAAATTGTGAGACAATAAGACACAACTAAGAAAGGAGTTGGATAAACAAAGAGCTATGCTTTATAATTTCATTACAAAATATAAATTCTAGTTCTGTAACTTCTTCACTCCTAGCACAAATAAATATAAGACTCCAACTTCAACACTACATTGATGAGGCTTCAACTCCCAACTCAAAACACAAGGCTTAAGATTGACAACCTTAAATTAAAAAAACCTTCCAATACCCAAAATACCAAGAAAATAAATATAAGTTGTTGAGGAGAACAAGTAATTTTCCAAGACATCTCATGATCTTCCAATTAGCCACTTAAGAATCCGCATGTTGTTGACAAGGCTACAAAGTAGGCACTGCATCATCCTCCCCGTGTGAGAAAGAACTCGTCCACGAGTTTGCAACCAGCTCTCCATGATATTTTGACAAATCTCGAACATTGAAAGTAGGATGGGTATGAATATTGGGGGGAAGTTCAACCTTGTAAGCATTATCATTGATTTTCTTGAGAACCCGACATAGACCAACCTTCTTCTCCTTGAGCTTGTTGTAAGACCTAGCTGGACATCTTTCTTTTTTCAAGTAAACCCATACAAGATCTCATTCCTTGAAAATTTTAATTCACCGATGAACATTAGCAGCTTCCTTGTACTTCTCATTGCTTTCTTCAAGTTTCTTTCTCACTTCTTCATGACATCTTGCCATGGATGTAGCAAAATCCTCAATCCTCTTATTAGGCAAAGAGGGATTAGGAATTGGTGCAAGGTTAAGGTAGTGTCTTGGAGCTTGCCCATAAACCACCTCAAATGGACTCTTTCCGATAAAACGATTCACCACATAATTATAGGCAAATTCAGCTTGAGGAAGAAACATGTCCCATTGCTTGGGTCTCTTTGCTGCTAGTCCTCTAAGCAAATTCCCCAAGGTTCTATTCACCACTTCAGTTTGTCCATCCGTTTGCGGATGATAGGCACTACTATAAAGCAAACTAGTACCAATCCTCTTCCACAAATACCTCCAAAAATGACTAAGGAATTTGGTATCCCTATCCGAAACAATGGACTTGGGAACACCATGATGTTTAACCACTTCATTAAAATAAAGATTGGCAACATAAGAGGCGTCCATAGTCTTCTTGCAAAGAATAAAATGAGCTCTTTTAGAGAACCGATCAACTACCACAAAAATGGATTAATTACCTCTTTGTGTTGTTGGTAAACCCACCATAAAATCCATACTAACATCTTCCCATGGAGCCTTAGGAAGTGATAATGGAGTGTAAGCACAAATATTTTGCGTTTGCCCTCTACAAGTTTGGCATACTTGGCATCTCTTCACATAATGGGTCACATCTCGATAAATGGTAGGCCAAAAATATTTTTCCTTCACAAGCAAGACGGTTTTGTCTCTCCCAAAATGTCCTCCCAAGCCTCCCGAATGAAGTTCTTTAATGATATACTCTCCAAGTGAGCATTTTGGAATGCATAAGCGAGCTCCTTTAAAGAGAAAATCATCTTGGAGAAGATAGTTTTGGTGTCACCCTTCTTTACAAAGTTTCCAAATTTCACCAAAATCTTCATCTTTAGCATACATGTCTCTAATGGCCAGGGGCGGCTAGAGCCTTAGGCGAGTTAGGCGGTTGCCTAAGGCCCCATCCAATAAGAAGGCCCCATAATTTTTTATTTCTTTATATATTATAACTTTTCTAAAACAATTATAGTATTTTCTTTAATTATTAACCTATAACATATAGAGAAATTTGACAGTTGACCTAAAAGATTTCTATTCTTTATATTTTTTTTGAGGGGCCCAAATTTTTTTCTTTCTTTATGTATTATAACTTACCTAAATATTTTCTTTTCTTATATTATTAAACCTCAACAAATACAAAGTGTGCCCAAAATATTTCTATCCTTTTATTATTATTATTATTATTATTATTATTATATATATTTTGCTCTCTCTCACCCTCATTAAATCAACATATATACACACACTAAATATTAAATATATATTTACGTGAAAATTGGTGAAACTTTCTATATTTTTCTAAGACTCCTATTAACTTTTATTTTCTCTTTTTTTCTTACTCCGTATATATTTTTTCTCCTCTCTCATTATAAATTTTCTTTTTTTTCCATCTTCTCCACGGTTACAGTTTACAATCTCACAATCTCACTTTGTAAAAAGATTTTGAATACACTTATATTCTATTAAATAATTTATTGGAGTATTATACCAAATTATTCGAAATCTGTTTCTATTATTCTATAACTTAAATTAGTTTATAATTTTATTAATTTTTGTAATCATAAAATTATATATTTTGTTTATAATTTTTATTTATATTGTTAAATGTGACTATTAGAAATCACATGGCCAATTAATTAACAATGGAACTAGAGTTTGGAAAAAATTTAGTGATTGGTTTAAATATCACAAAATAAATAATTAGCATAATACTGACATAAATATATGGGTAGATTTAATTAAAAGACCACTTTATTTTTTTTGCCTAAGGCCTCAAATAACATTGAGCCGCCCCTGCTAATGGCATCAAACCCTTCAAGTTGAACACTCATGGAATTTAGAAGTGCCACTCTCCTACTAAGAGCGTTTGCCACTTTGTTACATTTGCCACTTTTATGTCTCAACACAAAAGTGTACTCTTGTAAGAAAGAAACCTATTTTGCATGTCTTCGGTTCAAACTTCCTTGGTTGTTGATGTACTTAAGAGCTTCATGATCGGAATTCAAAGTGCTTGAACAATGGAATAAAATTCCACATCATAAGTAGAGTATTTCTTCCTAGCTTCATTGAGTTTTTCAGTAAAGAAGGCAATCGGATGACCTTCTTGGCTAAGTACCCCACCAATGCCCACATGAGAGGCATCACAATCAACTTCAAATATTTTTTCAAAGTCCGGCAAAGCAAGAACGGGTGCGCTGGACAATTTTTCTTTAACAAGCTAGCCGGAAACTTTTTTCAACCTCGGTTGTCCACTTGAACACTCCTTTCTTTATGCAATCAGTCAAATAAGCTGAAACAGTGCTGAAATTCCTTATGAATCGGTGATAAAATGAAGCAAATCCATGGAAACTCCTCACTTCTTGTAAGCTTTTTGGTGTAGGCCAACTTTGGATAGCTTTGATCTTTTCTTCATCCACCTTTATCCCTATAGAAGTCAAAACAAAGCCTAGGAAAGCTAGGCTATTTGTCATGAAAGAACACTTTTTGAGGTTTACATACAGTTTTTCTCCCTCAAAGTGTTTAGAATAGCCCTCAAATGCTCTATATGCTTACTTTGATCATGACTATAAATAAGAATATCATCAAAGTAAACAACAACAAATTTACCAATGAAAGGTCGAAGCACTTGATTCATTACCCTCATGAAAGTGCTTGGAGCATTGGAAAGACCAAATGGCATGACAAGCCATTCATATAAGCCTTCACGAGTCTTAAAGGCGGTCTTCCATTCATCACCCGGCTTGATACGAATTTGATAGTAGCCACTTCTAAGATCAATCTTGGAGAACACCTTAGAACCGGCAAGCACGTTGAACATGTCATCAATTCTTGGGATGGGAAACCGATATTTGATGGTAATTCGATTAATAGCATGGCTATCCACACACATAAGCCACGTCCCATCTTTCTTTGGAGTTAACAAAGCCGGCACCACACAAGGACTCATGATTTCTCTAACATACCCCTTCTTTAACAACTCCGTGACTTGCCTTCTTAATTCTTCATGTTCTTTTGGGCTCATTAGGTAATGAGCCTTGTTAGGAAGACTAGAAACGGGAATAAGATCAATTTGGTGTTGAATGTCTCTAAGTGGAGGGAGACCATTAAGCAAATCATCAGGTGTGACATCTTGAAACTCTTCCAAAAGAGGTTGTAGCTCACTAGGCATATCAATGGGCTGCATTTCTTCTTTAGAAACCAACATATATACAATACCAGTTTCATCACTTTCTTTCATAAATTTTGACAGAGTTAGAAAATTATTACCCTCCTCTTGTGAAGATTTGGGAGTTTTTTCCTCTTTACTTAGTAAGAGAACAATTTCTAATTTACCCATTTTAAAGGAGTA